GAAAGAAAATGTAAGATAACCATCCCAGGGTGGGGTTTAATCAACCAAAAGAAGGCCTCTCAAAGAAGAAGGTGGGTCTTGATAGAAGTGGACAAATTGACCTGGTATGAAAGACAAGAAAAGACAATGCAGATAGAAGAAATAAATATTAAATAGTAGAGTCAATGCAAACATGTAACTGTTTATCCTTCCATGTTTATCAATTTGCAATAAAGAAATTAGGCCCAAAAGCCCACAATGCTTTGTAGACTATGTGACCCTTATTTAACTTATTTATTTAATAATTTACCAACATATGGCTATGCAAAAGAATAGTATATGAAAAATTATCCTAAATAAAATTGAATATGTAAATTGTTAGTATATCTTTTTTACTTGATTCTACAAGTAATTGGCTTTTATTCATAGAATCAAGAAACAAAATTACAGAACAAAATTATAAAACATAAAACAAAAATCTGGAAAAATGCTAATTAGAAAATGTATTTACGAGCTTCAAAGGGAGAAAGTTACATTTTGTTGTAGCTGAAATTTAGCTTGTTGATGTTAAAGTCCACCCTACAGTGAAGTGTAAAAATGCACTCTGGTTCTACTGTCCTCACCACCACCAAGTGCATAAGCACAGATTGAGAGAGAGGGAGAAGGAGAAGGGAGGGAGGAGAAGAGAGGAGGAGGAAGGGAGGAGGAAGTGGAGAAGAGGATAGAAAGGAAAAGGAGGGAGAGAGAAGGAGGGAGGTGGAGGGAGGGAGTATGCTCTGTTCAGGACACATGAATAACAGAAGCAGGGATGATTTAACTATACTGGACAAGATGTGCACAGCTGGTATGCCAAATTGCTACTTAACAAAAACTTCTCTTGTGTTCAGCTTATTACTGAACAATTATTTCATTTAATTTAATTACTGCCTTTGAATACTTTTGAATCTTTCTATGCTAGAAACTCTTTGGTGATAGAAATTGAAAAATGAGTGTACACAAGATTTTTTCTTTTTTGCATAAATTGACAAACCCTGGAATATTTGGAAAGAATTAGAAAGCTGATTGAAAAGTGCCAAAATATTCGGAAAGAATCAGAAAATTGAGTTTGAGCATCCAATGCAATCAATTTATAAATCCTTGATGAAATTTCCCTCATCTTTTCATTTCACTGGTCTTTCCTGCATTTACTTTAATGGAACTAGAGCTGTTTCTGCAATCAAGGTAACCAATAGAGGTGATAAGGCACCAAAATAATAGCACTTTCATTGGCAAAGTGTGTTGATGCTAAATTCTTAGAAAATGTCCTTTTATGAGTTCATTAGAATAAATGCCTTCACTGCTGGAATTTAGAGAACAAAGCCCATATAAGAACCCTGAATAAGCACATGGTCAGGCCAGGTAAATCATTCCAGAAAAGTTCAGTAGGAAAGAAATTATTTTCATCTTTTGAACTAGGAATTAGTTAACTGTTCTGATTAGTTTTAAGTTAGTTACCACTAGCTTCAATGTGTAAGTTTTCAGGCTATGGAGTACAACTCTCTCTGCTTTCTTAGCAGTGAGGAAAATCTTAGTTCGGGGGCAGGAGTCCTTTCTGTAAATGACAAGAGTCAATTAAGAATTTAAAAAATATATTTTAATAAGTATTCCCTCCAAGAAATAACAACTACCTCAATGGGCCTAAGGTTAGGGAAGTTGTGGCACATTTAAAGTAATTTGCTTACCTGAATTCTGAGATAATGCAATTCCTTAAAATCTCTTTTATAATTTGTCACGGGTTCCATGTCCCTGTTAACCACTCTTTTAACTGTCTATTTGAAGTTATCTGCATATTTACTTGAAGATGCGTTGGCACTAGGGAAAATCGATATTAACTACCATTGTGGGCAGAGTGAGAGCGGGATGGTCAGTCAGTTTTGCTTCAAAAGAAGCTTTGCTGGGTCAGAACTGAAGTCCTGAAATGCTCCAGGGTTCTAATTTTGTTAGTTTGGGATGTTTCTATGACAGTTTTGTGA